GCAAACAATAGATATGTCTTGTAAATGATAAGTCAATAACTAATCTAACAATAGAACTGCTATATTTTTGGTAGTCTGCGTAGCTGGCCCTTTTAAGAGGGGCCTGGGTCAGCTACGCAGGATTCATTTTTGGGTCAATCAAAAAGCATAAAAAATAACATTTTGTCTCCAAAACAAAAACCAAAAACACAAGTGAACACTAAACTAAGACTGCAAATTATCTGGTCACAGTCTTAGTCTACTGTTCACTTGGATTTGATCACAAGGAGACTGGGATAATATTTTGATTTTTCCACTTTTTAAGTATTATTATGCTCTATATGATTATTTGGAACTTCAGAGTAGTTTCTTGCTTAACTMTATCTTAAAGATTTAAGAAAGTAGAAGAACGACCGCCAATCATCAACATCATGGGSACCATGTTACCAATACTTTACAACCACTGCGTCACTGTTATWAATGATGAATCTGCTCATGCTGTGTCCATACAGAAGCAAATTTTGAAGATATTTTATTCTTTAATCCAGGTATAAATGGGTACATGTTATAATAACATTTGGGTGTATTTAAGGTGGATTTACACACTATGATTGTTGCCTGAGACTTGTATGATTTTCCTATGACAAGTTATAGGATTTTGAGCTGTGGTTCAAAATCTTACTGCAAGTCGTAGGTTGAATACAAGTACATGACATGATTTGGAGCTCATTTGAGTCATATACTACGAGTTACATGCCACAAAGGTTCTACGGAAATCTGCCTTTAGGGGAGGCATCACAAGCYGCCCATCCTTTCAAAGAGTTAMAGGTGTCTTCATCTTTGATTATTCAAAGCATGAATTAGGATTTTCCATAATTTTCTATGCACTGGAGACCTTATATTTAACAGATAAAATCCATATATGTACTAATCTATGGGATGGGTAAATTATTCCATCCTTGGTACCAATGGTTGGTTGATTAGATGCCACCCATACATGTACATTACATTGATAGAGATATCTTTAATTTATTTTATTTTTATTTTTTATTTTTTATTTTTTATTTATTTTTCAGTGTAATATGCCACTGGCCATCATCAATGAGGAAAATTTCCCCAAATGGATGCAGATTTTCCAAACCATTGTTGACAGACCAGTCCCTGCAGTAAGTACTACATGTAATATATAAAATATGAGCAGGACATTTTTATGGGCATTCAAAACAGCAAGCTGCAAGAGAGCGGTGTTTACAAGCCCATAGAATAGAAGAATAGAAGAATAACTTTATTTAACCACAGTAGTCTCATTCAGGACTTTAAAAATATTAAAAATACTAACTATACTAACTATAATATACATTAATCAGGCATGTCGGAATTATGCGCGAAAAAAT